GGGCTGGGATCACCTGCTGCCTGGGGCCGCGGCGGGTCAAGCTCTACCTCTGTCAGAGCTGGAAATTCGTTGGAAATGACCAGTGAAGGTTCATTTGCGGTGATACTGATCTCCTGATATGGAGCCAGCACCTCACATTTTCCCTTCCTCAAACAGCACCTTTTCGTCGTTATGCTGCTAATTATAGCTCCCGCTGCACCAGGGCTAATGGTTCTGTGTTTAATTTTCTAAAATGTAATGACAGTTAAATCATAGCACTTCTGTTCCTGAGGTAGCTGTCATCCTCAGTTTATGGATGGGGAAAAGTACTCAGAGAGGTGGAGTAATTTGCTCAAAGGCACACAGCTAATAGAGGCCAGTACCCAAAGTCTGACTCTCCAAGGCCCGTGCCTTAAACCTAAGCCTCCACAGTTTAGCCAAGTTAGTGACATAGCTGAAGCCAAAGTAAAAACTATGAACAGCGGTAGAAAACAGGACCTAACAGTTTTTAGTTAACCTGTGTAAATTTATCAGGAGCCACTGAATATGGGGTGGGGGTGGGGGTGGGAGTTGAGCTTTTCAAATGCTTAAAATAGCTCAGAGATCTGTGTTTCTGTTCAACCAAAATCTGTATTAGGCATCTGCAGAGAGACAGAACCAATAGCATGTGTTTATAAACAGAGAGATTTGTTTTAAGGAGTTGTCTCTGCAATTCCGGAGGCTGGCACATCCAGAATCTGTGGGGTAGTTAGGTAGGCGGGAGACCCAGGAAGAGCCATTGTTGTGGTTCAAGTCTGAAGGCCATCCACTGGCCGAATTCCCATTTCTTCCAGGGGGTTCAGTCTTCTTCCTGGGATTTGAAACCACTCACTGCGTTACTACAGTGCCTGCATTGTACAGCTTAGGGTGGAGGTCAGGGAAGATAGTGTGACTTGCCCAGGGACACAGCTGGGCAAGGACTGGGCAATGTCTGCCGTGTTTTCTGGTTTCCAGCCCTTGTTCCAGTTCTCCTGACTCATCCATCACCAGAGTGTCTCATGTTTGAGCTCTGGCCAGTTTGGGTGACAGGTGATGTCTGGCCTAGTCCCCAGCTGCTGTCCTTGTCAGCAGGAGATGTAGATGTGGAAAACAGTATGGCAGTTCCCAAACAATTACAAATAGATTTCTCATTTGATTCAGCAATTCCGCTTCTGGGTATGTGCCCAAAAGAACTGAAAGCAGAGACTTGAGCAGATGTTTGTACCCCCATGTTCACAGCAGCGTTGTTCACAATAGTCGGAAGACGGAAGCAGCCCACATATCCATGGATGGATGAATGGATAAACAAAGTGTGGTATCTAAATACAATGGAGTATTATTCAGCCTTGAAAAGAAATTCTGACACGTGGTAGAACATGCATGAAACTTGAGAACATTATGCTAAGTGAAATAAGCCAATTACAAAAGGATAGGTGTTGGGATGCCTAGGAGTCTCTGTCGCTTAGGTGTTGGACTCTTCGTTTTCAGATTTTTTTTTAAGTAATCTCTACACCCAATGTGGGGCTCAGTCCTACAACCCCCGATATCAGGAGTCACATGCTTTACCGACAGAGCCAGCCAGATACCCCAAGAGTCCGACCTTTGTTTTTCTCTTAGAGAGAGAGTGCTTGTGGGGGAGAGGAGCAGAGAGAGGGGAAGGAAGGAAAGAAAAAGAAGGAAAGAAAGAAAACAAAAGAGAAAGGAAAGAAAGGGAAAGAAAGAAAAGAAAAAGAATCTTAAGCAGTCTCCACACTCAGCACGGAGCCCGACGTGGGGCTCCATCCCACGACCCTCGGATCATGACGTAAGCGGAAATCAAGAGTCACGTGCTCAACCGACTTGCACCCAGGCGCCCCTCCCCCCTCCCCACCCCCCAACAAGATCCAACTCTTGATGTCAGGTCTTGATCTCAGGGTCGTGAGTTCAAGCCCCTGGTTGGGTATGAAGCCTACTTCAAAAAACACACACAACAACAGGACAGATATTGTATGATTCCACTCATATGAAATACTTAGTCAATTCACAGAGACAGAAAGTGGAATGGTGGCTACCAGGGACTGGAGGGAGGAGGGAATGGGAAGTTAATGTTGAGTGTATATAGAGCTTCAGTTTTGCCAGATGAAGAGAGTCATGGTGATGGATGGTGGTGATGGTGGCACAACCAGGTGAATGTGCTTAGTGCCATGGAACTGTACATTTAAAAATGATTTAAATAGTAAATAGGCATAGCAGCATTATTCACAGTAGCAAAATATTAAAAACAATCCGCACATCCTTCGGCAGGTGAATTGTTAAACTCTGGTACAGCCGTACGGTGAACATTAAGCAATAACCAGGCATCAACTATTGATACAGGTAACAACCTCAAGGATATTATGCCTAGTGAAAAAGGTCCCAAAGGGGTATATACTGTGTGACTCCATTTATATAACATTCCTTTTTTTTTTTTTTTTTTAGTGTTTTTATTTATTTTTGAGACAGAGACAGAGCATGAGCAGGGGAGGGGCAGAGAGAGAGGGAGACACAGAATCCGAAGCAGGCTCCAGGCTCCAAGCTGTCAGCACAGAGTCCATCGCGGGGCTTGAACTCACGGACCGGACCGTGAGATCATGACCTGAGCTGAAGTCGGACGCTCAACCGACTGAGCCACCCAGGCGCTCCCATTTATATAATGTTCTTAAAGTGACAAAACTATAGAGATGGGGAACAGATCAGTGGTTGCCAGAGGACGGGGGTGGCGAGGGGAGGTGCAGATACAAAAAGGTAGCACAAAGAGGTTCTTCAGTGATGGCACAGTTCTGAGTCTTGATCGTGGTGGTGACTACACGAATCTGTACGTGGAATAAAACTGCATAGAGCTGACCTCATCCCGGCGCGGTGGCGGCGCCCAGGGCAGAATCGGAGCAGGCTAAGAGAAGACTGGAGGGAGACTGAAGGAAGAGTTTGGGGGCTTTAAGAGTCCCTGCACCTGGCGGCCCTGGTCTGTCATGGGAGTCCTGGGGGCATCTGTGGCCTGAGCAGGGCGGTGGCCCTGGAGGGCAATCAGAAGAAGGAAAGGCCGCTGCTCCAGTTCCTGGCTGACCGCTTGTGTGACGTGGAGGCTCTGCGAGAACACCTGTCCTGACAGCAGGTGTTGAAGGTGCCTCAGAAAACTGGACCCTTCACCTGCATCAAGGAGCATACTTGGAAGGTGCCCATTTCGTCCTGACGCAGGGGGCGCTGCCACGTTTCGAGACAAGGAGTGGATGTGGTCAAACGAACATGGCCATTTCTCTCTTGAGGTCTTGGAGTTTCAGGTGTTGCCTGTAGAGGCTGCCATGCCAGTGGCTGTGCCATCAGCTACCAGGGCCTGGACGTCTCAGACCTCCCTGCTGTGTCCAACCCGGCCCTCATCGGAACTTGTTGGAGGAAGTGCTGTCCAAATATGAGGTTCTGGGGGCTGACTGGGCACAGGGCTCAGGTTGGGGCTGGAGGAGCAGCGTCGGGACACAGCCAGCCCCATCTCCGCCCAGCCCTCGACCCCCTCCCCATCAAGCCGGACCTCAGCGGGGCCCGGTGGAGAGTCCGATGGCTCTCCAAACTCCTGGCTTCCATCTGGGCTCACTCGACATGGGGGCTGGAGTGGGTTGTGGCACCAGCAGGCCAGAGGGGAGAGCGTGGGTTTGGGGTATTAATTCCCCATCTCAGGGCCTCTGGCCGGCTGCACCCTGTGCTGAAAGGTCACAGCCCCGGTCATCCTGTCAGGCAGCTCTTTCCACCATGCTTCTCTCCTGGGTCTCACAAGCCTCCTGCCTCTCCAGACCTGGGGGAGGTAAGCAGCCCCAGGGATCTGTGCTCTCCCCCGGTTTCCCCACACCTGTCCACAACCATGTCAAGAGACTCTTCTCAGAGTATCCGTCCTTGTTTGAGTGTGCTACTGTCTCCTGCCGGGACCCTGGCTGATACAGGGGTGCTACTGGCACCATTACGGGGATGGTTCTTTCCTGTGTGAGACTGCTCAGCTCACCGCACGCTGTAGCAGCCCGATTCACTGGATGCCGGTAACGCCCCAAGTTCCATGGTGTTCCCACTTATCGATTTATTGACTCAGCTCCAGTTCGGCTTGTTGCTCTGCGAGAATTGACCTGGGCCTTTGAACTTGTTTTCCTTTGCTAGGTGTGTGACATGACTTGTCAGTAGAGGGCACCAGAGGGATTACGGGAGGAAAGGCTTCGGCTTGCTGGTTCCCTGAGGGTGTGCTTGCTTTGCCGGCTCTCGTTACCTGCATTGCGCGCGGGGCCACCCCAGCAGGTGACTCCCGAGGTGTCAGGCGCTCAGCTGCTTCGCCTGGCGCCCCCAGCCCCCAGGCAGTTTCGGAGAGGAGTGCCTCCACTCAGCCACCTCCCTGCGAATGAGTCTCCACAGAAAGGGGATTTCCAGTAAATACCAAGGCACCTTATCAGTGAATCCCTTGTTATTTCAATTTGCTGTTAAAGTCAATAATTCTTTTTTTATATAATTTTTTTAATGTTTATTTATTTTGAGAGGGAGAGTGTGTGAGTGGGGAAGGGGCAGAGAGACACAGGGAGACACAGAATTGGAAGCAGGCTCCAGGCTCCGAGCTGTCAGCACAGAGCCTGATGCGGGGCTCGAACCCACAGCTACGCGATCATGACCTGAGCTGAAGTTAGACGCTTAACCGACTGAGCCACCCAGGTGCCCCAAGTCAATAATTCTTTATATTAAACTTCACCTGTTCAAAAACTTGCATAGAACTGCACACTCACGAATGAATGCAGGTTTTAAAAGATGGTAAAAACTGAGTAAGGTCTGTGGTCTAGTTGATAGCACTGCACCAATTCACGTTCCCAGTTTTGATATTGTATCGCTGCTTTATAAGATGTCACCATGGGAGGCAACTGAAGGGACAGAGGACACTTTGTAGTTTTTTGGGGTTTTTTTTGTAACTTCTTGTGAGTCTCATTCTTAAAGCCATGGTTGATAAAAGATTACAGAACATCGGTTCTGCTCTATGGAGTTTAGAAACCAGTTGGCACAGTGAGATCGTCTTTCTTTTCTATGTTTCTTCTTCCCTTCTTTCCTTCCTTCCTTTCTTCCTTAAGTTAAAAGTTATCATGAATTAGCTTATAGATACGAAGCGTTGTAGGAATCCTCCAGAAGGACAGGTTGCTGCAGGCTAGATGTCCAGGCTGGTTATCGAAGAGGGAGGAGCTCCAGTTGGGACTTGATGGATGAGTCGGGCTAAATAAACAAAGTGGAACAACACAATGGAATCAGGTCCAGAGAGAGGCATATGAAAGGCGCTTGTGGGCAGATGAGTCCTGTGAAAGTTTTCACAAATAGGAAGCACCCAGCCAAGGTGCTGAGTAAGCTGTTAGGTGTTTGAACAGAAGAGTGATGTGTGAATGTGAAACTGGTAACCAGAGGGTTAATGGGACTAATAAACACAACAGCAACCTTTTACCCAGACCTTTTCCACTTGCCTTTATTATTTTTAAATGTTTATTTGCTTTGAGTGAGAGCACGCTTATAGGGGAGGGACAGAGGGAGAGAGAGAATCCCAAGCAGGCTCTGTGCTGTCACCACAGAGCCTGACATGGGGCTCGATCCCACGAACTGTGAGATCATGACCTGAGCCAAAATCAAGAGTTGGATGCTCACCCGACTGAGCCACCCAGGCGCCCCTCCTCTGGTCTTTAAATATCCCTGACTCTCTTCCTCTGGATAGCTGGATTTGAGGCTTGGGTTCTTGTCTCAGACTCAGGTGGCCTCTTGAAAAAACCCTTTCCTTGCTGCACATTGACTGTCTCAGTGACTGATTTTGCTGTGAGCCAACGGGAGCTCTCTGCCTGTGGTTCCTCAGCCCCCAGCCAGTTCTGGGAGTGTGGTGACCAGTCCAAGCGACTGTCTAGGCTCTTTGTCCTAGGGACTGTCCCCAGAGCCCAACCCCAACTGGGCACTGCCAGCCTTGGGGACCCAATTTAACTTTTGCAGCGAGGAAATGGTTTTCGGCTTCGGGTGGACACGCCTCTTGATGAGTACTTGACATGCAAGGGCAGGTGAGCGCATTTCCTCTTCCCATTGGGTGCCTCCAAACAGGGGGCTTTGGTGTGGATCTCTGCGCCCCCTTGTCTGAAAGTTGACTAGGAAGCTGTTTGGGTCAGACAACGAAGCCTTGGCTTTGGGGCAGGAACCAGTGCTCCCAGAGGCACTCAGTGCTTCATTTGGTTTGTTTGTTGCTGCAGCTTTTGGTATCTTTGGACAAAACCAGCCGTATTCTGATCGGAAAATGGAAAGTGAATTTGATCCCTGAATGCAGCCCTTTGGTCTGTATTCTCCAAAATTGGGCAGTTCTTGCTTTGCAACACTGCTTTCCCACAGTATTCATTAGACTGGAGAAAAATGACCGATCAGTGGATCCATAAATTATGATATATTTGGAAACTGGGCCTTTAAGATTTTGTTTGCATCTTTTTTTTAATGTTTACTTATTTATTTTAAGGGGGTGGGAGGAGAGAGAGAGAAAGAGACAGACAGACAGACAGACAGAATATCCCAAGCAGGCTCCATGCTCAGCTCAGAGCTCAACCGTGAGATCATGACCTGAGCCAAAATCAAGAGTCGGACACTCAACTGACTGAGCCACCCAGGCGGCCCAGATTTTGTTTGCATCCTGCTTGTGTATCTGTATGTGTTTCCATGTGTGTTGTAAATGTGAGATTTTTTTCTCTACCTGTGGATGGTGCTACTAAAATTAATTTGACAAAGAGGTCAATGTAGTTGGTTTAAAGGCAAGTGCTTGTAAGAATTAGGCATTCCAAAACTGAGAAAAACACTTTTAAGTTCATGTGAGTTGGGAAAATATTCAATATTAAAGCTAATTCAGGGTTGTTGGTTTAATTAAAATGGACGTGTTTTTAAAGTTTCCAGTAGTAGACGTAGGAGGTACAACTGTTGTTTGTTCTGCCTGTGTTTACTGCAAGTCAATAGGTTCATGTTATAAAGTGTTTTGGTAATCTAAACATAATCACTGAGAACTAACATGGGTTTCTTTTTGGCTTCTATTAAGGGAAACAACTCTGTATACAAGGGAATTGAGACTGGTTATTTAAAGAAGGAAAACTTAGGACAAAACCTGATTTTAAGAAGTTGTAGAAGATTTGTGAGAAGGAAATCTTTGGAAAGGAATTTTGTGCACGGTCGGGACTAAGATTACAGAGATGAGTGCATAAAGAAGTTTTTTAGGGAGTGGTCGACACCTGGGGAAGAGAAGGCTGGTTGAGAGAACAGGATCAGGCAGAGGTTGAGCAGTGACACAACCTCAACAGAAGCCTCAGCTGACTCTCTGAGGAGTTTCCAAAAGTTGGGTTCCTCTTTAGAACCAGCCTAAACTGGGGCAGAGGGCTGGACTTTCATACACTTGTACTAAATGGCCATTAGATGAGACCGCCTGGGAAGAGGGCATGGCCTGGACAAGGCAGGTGTCTTCAGTCAACGCCCTCGCTCGTGAGCCCTGAGAGCTAAGAACCATTAGCAGCATGCCCACCAGCTGAGGGTCCTTCATTCCTGATGGGGGTTCTGGTCAGCACATCCCAGCACAAGGACTCAGCTCCATGCAGCACCCTGGATGGCCCCGTCTCAGTAAGTGTATGTCAACATGGGCAGTGACAGGGAGGGACAAAGGAGGGACTACATACCATTTTTCAAAAATTTGCCTTGTTGGAATGAATGAGTTTTGCTATCAGAAGTACATCAATATAAGATTAGAATTTGGTTTTCCTGTTACAAACGACAGTTTTCTGGGGCGTCTGGGTGGCTCAGTTGGTTGAGCATCCAACGTGGGCTCAGGTCATGATCTCATGGTTTGAGCCCCACATCAGGCTTTGCACTGACAGATCAGCACCTGCTTCAGAGTCTCAGGTCCCCCTCTCTCTCTGCCCCTCCCCCACTCGAGAGTTCATGCACTCTCTCCCTCTCTCTCAAACATAAATACTGGGGTGCCTGGGTGGCTCAGGTGGTTACAGTTACACATCTGACTCTGGATTTTAGCTCAGTCATGATCTCACAGTTGGAGAGTTCAAGCCCCACATTGGGAGCCTGTTTGGGATTCTCTGTCCCTCCCCCCCCCCCCCCCCCCCCCCCCGTCCTTCCCCCGCTCGTGCTCACGCTCTATCAAATAAATAAACTTAAAAAAAATAATAGTAAGTAAAGCCTTCTGATATTTCTGACCAACTTCCCAAGATTCAACTTCTAAATGAAATCTTTTTTTTTTTTTTTTTTACTAATTAGGCTTGTTTATTTGGTATGTCAAATTACATGGGAAGCACTGTCAAATAAATGAGGATAAACCTTAGATTGTATGAGTGGATGCTATAACTCTTCCAGAAACTGTATAAAATTCCTAAGGTTTTGATATGTCCTGGGGTAATGTCATCATTTGTAATTCCAATTATTAAAGTGTTGTGTGTCACAGAAAAACCATGGCCATTTTTTTAGTTTTCTGTCATTTATAGTTATTGTTTTACTCTGATGCTATTACAGATGGGTTTCAGCTTAAGGAGATTCATGGGAAGGACTTTTGACAAATACGGGTCTCTCATACCAGTAAGGTGATAAAGCCAAACTGAGTAAGAACTTCTGGAACTAACAGGAAAACCATTCAAACAGAGCAAGAATTAGTAACATGGGACTGAATGAATTGAGGAAGATAATTACTCTTGATTGAAACGCTGCTGGTTCTCTAATGTTTGCTCTTCCAGATTTAAGGAAAGTGTTTTTCTCTTAAGCTATTATGACTTGCAGAAATTTGGTAGAATAATCCCTTTGTAAACAAACATGATACATTTACCTTTTTCTCCCCACCTGATCCCTCCAGATTCGGAAACTCTCAGTGAGCATTCTTATATTTTCATGGCAATGTATGTATTTGTATACGTTCAGTAAGAATCTGTTCTTAGGACAGGACACATTTGGAAACATTGGTTATATTATCAGGGCTTTGACTGGACTATCATATTTGAGGGAGACGTGCATTGACTCAGATATGAGCAGACAACTTTAAGGAACTAAGGCTGACGTTTTGGAGCCAATGAAGTGCCTTGGAAAAATCAGCTTTGTACTTACTTACAGAGTTCCCAGCAGGTCATTTTCTGGCAGGTGCAGGAACCTCAGGATATTTTAGGGACCTCAAGAAGAGAGGAACTTACCCGAATCTATAGGTATTGCAGATAGAGTCTGATGGCAAGTACTTGGCTTGGCTTCTTAGCCCTGAGAGGTTATTAAAAGTTCAGTCTGAGGGGCGCCTGGGTGGCGCAGTCGGTTAAGCGTCCGACTTCAGCCAGGTCACGATCTCGCGGTCTGTGAGTTCGAGCCCCGCGTCGGGCTCTGGGCTGATGGCTCAGAGCCTGGAGCCTGTTTCTGATTCTGTGTCTCCCTCTCTCTCTCTGCCCCTCCCCCGTTCATGCTCGGTCTCTCTCTGTCCCAAAAAAATAAATAAACGTTAAAAAAAAAAAAAATTAAAAAAAAAAAAGTTCAGTCTGAAATTCTTTGAGAAGTTCCAGCAAAGCAGATTTAAAAAAAAAAAAAAAAAAAAAAAAAAAAAAAAAAAAAAAAAAAAAAAAGGCAAACTCTATATGGCTAGTCACTCTTGCAGCGCTCATGGAAATAATTAGCCCAACGTTGTTAAAGCTGGAGTCTTAATTTGGTTATCTTTGGTGGAAGTGGGGGTGATTTTAGGAAAAAAAAATCAGACCTTTGTGGACGTTAGATTAACTGTGTTTGGATGTTTGTTATTTGCCTCTTAAACTGGGCTGGATTGTGAATTCTGATTTCCTCCAGTGTCTGGTTATGATTCTCCAAACTAAGGTTTCCAATTTTCTCCTATTCCCATTCCCTAACACTGCCCTTTCTCCTGAAGCCCTGCAAACTGCACACTTGAGGTAGACTTCAGGCAGTTTAGGATTATTAGAGCCGTGTTGGAACCCAAGGAGGCAGCCAGTGCCCATGGCCCAGGACACCAGAAATCAGACTGTTTGATTGCCCAGGGGGAACAATCGGGCAGATCCGGCCGCCGGGCTGGCAGCCCATACAAAGCCTCCAAAACCCTTTGCGACGGCATTAGTAGCAGACACAGACTTGCCCAAACACCACCCTCGGATTCCTCTGAACACCGAAGGAGAGCTGCCCGTCCACAGCTCCCGAGAACCACCCAGTGGCAGCTGCCTGTCAGGGTCCTTGCACGACAGAGAGTGGTCTCTGAGACCAGAAGCCTCTGAGATTGTGCCGGGAGCTCAACAGGCAAGGTGTGCCAGCTGCAGAATTTAGAAGTTTTGGCCTCTTAACTAACAAGTGTTCTGTGTTGGGCCGTCTCTGTTTCCAGCGAAGGTACAAAGTTTGAGAAAACGTTCTTCCGAATAACGGGAGAGAAAGGTAGGTGGCCTGAGCCCAGGATGAGCAGTAAAACCCAGTTTGGTTGTGCTTTTATTAGCTCTTGATCCTGTCGGTGAAGACCTTGCCTGGCTCTGCCTCTCCCCCACTCCCCCGACTTCCCTTTACTTGAGCTTTATTAGGCACCTTGGCTCATTGCGCCTGTTTTGTTCCTCACAGGCAATTTTCACCCAGAAAAACAAGCTGCTCCCGGACCCACTGGACACCCGATGCTGGCAGGGCTTCCGGCTGGAGGAGTATGTGATAGGACAGCCCATTGGCAAGGGTTGCAGCGCAGCTGTGTACGAAGCCACCGTGCCTGTGCTGCCCCAGAGCCTGCAGGTGGCAAGGAGCACCGGGCTTCCTGGCAGAGGCCCAGATACCGCTCCCCAGGAAGAGGAGCCGGCTTCCCGGGCCACCGGCTTTCCCTTAGCCATCAAGATGATGTGGAACATCTCGGTGAGGAGGGGGCCTTTCGCCTTTGGGTTGGGCGTTTCTCAAAACGCCAGTCTTGGTGGACCCGATAGTGCCCTTTACCGGGAAGTAGATGGGCGGAGTCTCCACAGTACAGGCTCCTCAAATTGTGACAGTCGGCGAATCGCCTGGGGATCGGGTTAAAAGGCAGATTCTGGTCAGCTGGTCTGGGGTCGGGGCTGAGATGCTGCCTTTCTCACAAGGTCCCTGGTGATGCCCGTGCTTCTGGTCTGTGCACCACACACGGGCGGCAAGAGCCTGAGCACCTGGGTTCTCATTTGTCAGTGCTGGTCCATTAGCTGGATTCAGGTGCGCAGTTTACCGCCACCCTCCCTCTTTGCCCTGACCTGCCTCACTCGAGAGGAGAGGCCACACGCCTGTCCTCCAGACTCCCCCTTTAGCCTCACCTCCAGATCACAGGCTTGCTTGTCACCTCCCTGCCCTCAACTCTGGAAGGACGCAAAGCTTTGGGAAATTGAGTTTTTTCCCTCCACAAAAACAGATTTCTGTCTAATTTCTTTCCCTTTTCACTATATAGATGGGTTTAGAAAATTAATTAAGACCTAATGTTCTTTCTTCTTCCCAGAGCATCCGTCCAAGCCTAAGAATGGGACACAGCTCATGCTGGACATTAAAGAATGCAGTTTCTTTCTTTCTTTTTTAAAGATTTTATTTTCAAGTAATCTTCACATCCAACGTGGGGCTTGAACTCAACAACCCTGAGATCCAGAGTTGCACGCTCCACTGACTGAGCCAGCCGGGTGCCCCACGAACGCAGTTTCTTGTTTTGATCTGGGGGATGAAGGTTATTAGACTATTGCCCTTCCCAACTGGCTAATAGCTAACAGGTAGCCAAGTGCTTGGCCTGGGAAACATCCAGTGTTGGCATCAAACCTCCACTGATGGGCATGGCACCTACTGTGCTCACAAAAGCTAAAAGACTTAATTCCTGTAGGGTTCCTAACAGGTTCCACAGGGCGTGAGTGCCATTCATAATGAAACGAGGAAATAGGGTGTTTTTCCTCGAGTTTGGCTCTTTCTACTGGAGGGGTGGGGAGGGCTGTCCTGTGATTCAGCACCACTTTATCCAGGGCGAGTTTGTCCATCTCTGCCTGTCTGCTGAAGGCAGCCTGCCAGGGGGAGTCTTTGTGTTCCAGTGGCCAGTTTTGAGCCTGGTGGGGACCGGAGGCATTGATGGCAGTGAGAAAGATCCCTTCCTGCCCTGGGCACCTGAGCTGCCCGGAGATTGAGGTGGGGTGTGGCAGCCCCCTGGGAGGTGGTGGGGGACAGTATCTCTTCCCTCTCAGGAGAGACTAGGCTTGGCTTGCCCCTATCTTGAATGTCAAAACCAATTCTAGAGGCACCTGGCTGGCTCAGTTGTGGAGCATGTGACTCCTGATCTTGGAGTTGTGTGTTCAAGCCCCACGTTGGGTATAGAGATTACTTTAAGATTTTTTTTTAAAAATTCTAGGCAGTAGCTGTCTGTTCCAGATTACAAGGAAGACTCGGACTTGCTCTAGTCCATGTAACCCTGAATTCATGATTGTGTTCCAGGCAGGCTCTTCCAGTGAAGCCATCTTGAACACAATGAGCCAGGAGCTAGTCCCAGCTAGTCGAGTGGCCTTGGCCGGGGAGTACGGAGCAGTCACTTACAGGTATGCACCCCTCTGCCCACCGGACTGGTTGTGAGTTCCGCGAGAGCAGAATCCTCCCCTGTGTCCTCCGTGTGGCGTCATGTCGATCATAAATGCTCACTGAATGATGCGGCGAATGATGGATTTGTAGTTGCTGGATAATTTCACTTGGAGAGGATTGCAGATCATCTGACCCCAACTGAAGGTCTCCCAGAGAAGGCCATCCAAAAACGCCCAATTCAGAATTTTGGAAAGTTGATCTGATTGCTCTTAAGCAATGCCCAGGTGGAACGCCGCCTCCCTGTCGTGAACTCCATCCCCAGCAGAGGTAGCACTCATTCCACTAACAGCGGCAATGCCAAGAGATTAAAAGGTGGGGGGCTTGGTCCCCAAGAGTTCTGTGTGTGACAGAGGAGCCGGACAAGGTGGGAGCAGAGGCCGGGGAGGTAAGCGCTACCTACGGCCGTGTGTGCTCAGGCGCTGGGGGAGCGCAAACGGATGGGCCTCTTGAAGCGACCATCAGTGCTGCCTTTGGAAGGATGAGGAAGCACCACCCGGGCAGGAGGGAAGGCAGAGAGGCCTTCTCCACAGAGAGAAGAAGGGGTGGACGGCAGCTCATGCTCCTCGTGCTTTGTAAGCACCAGGTGTGCGGTGGTGAGGATCGACGCTGAGCGGGTGACAGAGACACGTGTGGTCACTTCGCGATTGTGGACCGCCAGCAGGGGCTGCATTTGGCAACTTACTGGAGGGTTAGTTTCTAGACCCAGTGCTGTCAGAAACAGGAAGGTAGACAGGGACTTGAGAAGACACATGGAAAGCCCCTTCTATGGTTTGGAAGGCTCCCCGTGACTGGGGGTTCTTAGTATCATCCTCCTCTCCTTAGTCCTTCGTAGGGAAAAGCGGGTGTCTGCATGTCTGCTGCTTTCTGAGGGGTACAGCTGTCTTCAGGCGGCTTTCTGTGTGCACCTCAGCCTGCTGACATGCTGTCGGGTAGCTCATGTGAGCACCGATGCCTCTGTGGTGGAGGGGCCGCCCAGACCTCCCATCTGAAGTGGTCCTTGTCTCTCACCAGTCCCTTACCCTGCTTTAATTTGTCTTCACGGCACTTATCCCCATTTGACCTTAAATCACAGATGTCTGTCTATTCTCTCTCCCGCTGTCCTAGAAGCTCTTGAGGGCAGGGCTTTTCTGTTTTGTTTGCTGTGTACCCTTGCAGCTCAGTAAATGTCCATTGGATGATTCCGTGAATATGGCATCAGTGACTCAGGAGAAACGGTCTCAGTCCCTGAGAGCACTTCTGTTTCTACCTAGCCTCTGCTCATCTAGGGACCTCAGGCTCAGACCTTTGTGATCTCCTCCTCCCACTTCTCTCCCCGACGCTTGCACTCTGTGCTCCACCATATTGAATCCATAAGGCCCTCCTCCAGATGCACCGCACTCCTCCTTGCCTGTCTTCCTACGTTGCAGTTAGCTGTACTTGGGCTGTCCTCCCCACAGCCTCCTGTCCCACTCCAGGTCTCCACACACACATACCTTACACGGACACGCTCATCCTCAGGCTCCCATGGCAACCGAGCCGAGCTTTCCCACTGTGGCACAGACGACCCTGAACTGTGATCCTCCTGATCTATTACTAGCTCCGGTGCCCCAAGGCTAGGAACGCTTTAACTCCCTTGATTGCACGCAGGGGTGCACTCGGATGGACCGGAGAGCGAGAGCAGTAGGAGGCCACCTGTGGACTGGCTCTACAAAGCTCGGGAACTGAGGCGGATCTTCGGATGGGGGTGGCCATCTTGCTCCCTCAGTGTTGTCTTCGTGGTTTTGGGTTTCTCCTCCACTCTGAACTCTCTCACCCGGTGTCCTTCTTTCTTCCCCCATAGCTCTTCTGTTCCTGTGTGCCTTTGATCACATGGGTGACTTTTGGCCGGCACCTTCCACCGTCAGTTCCATTGCTGACTGCTAGATTACTGCCATGTTTTTTCATTAATGTTCCTCCAAGAGAGAATCTAACCAGCCCCCTTCCCTTTTCCCACCAACCGTTTGGGTCTCCGATGTGACTGCAGGCTCCTTGCCCTTAGGTCAGGTGCCCACCCAGTCAGTAGTGCCTGAGGGGTGGGGCTGATATATAGCAGGCCGACTCACACCATCCAGAACATGGCCACTGTGCGCCAGCAGGCCTGTGGGTGTGGGGATCCCCGAGGAGGAGGTCTGGGCAGGCAAGTGATGGCTGTACTACAACCTGCATCTGTGCCGATTCATTTATTCAACCAAGGTTTATTGAGCTCATACTCCATGTTAAGGGTTAGAACTTGGCAATCATAGGGGCGTCTGGGTGGCTCAGTCAGTTGAGCATCTGACTTTGGCTCAGGTCATGATCTCGCAGTTCACGAGTTGGAGGCCTGCATCGGGTTGTGTGCTGACAGCTCAGAGTCTTGAGCCTGCTTTGGATTCTGTGTCTCCTTCTCTCTCTGAAATAAACATTGGAAAAAAAAAAAAAAAAAAACACCTTGCGATCATAGAGATTCTGGGTCCTTTGTAAGTATTAACAACCTTACAAGGTGTGTTACTACCCTATTCCCTTTGGCAGTTGAGACTGAGCGCAGAGAAGTAACCTGACCAAGGGCTTACAGTGGCCGACCTGGAACTCAAACCAGAGTCAGATTCCAGAGTCTCTTGACCACTATATTCTGCAGCATGGGATGGATGATGGATGGACAGATGGATGGGCCAGCGGAGTCCTCAAATGTGATTAGTCATCTTTATGGGTTTGTTTTTTCACTCTAACACCAGGCTCTGCACCTGACACAAAGCAGATCTGTACTAAGTGTTTGATTAAAATGGGTGATTAAATGTCAGTATTTATCGTGGTATAATTATCTTTCCGTTGGTCTCATTTGGCTGAACTAGAAAGTCCAAGGGAAGTCCCAAGCAACTGGCCCCTCACCCCAACATCATCCGGGTCTTCCGTGCCTTCACCTCTTCTGTACCACTGCTGCCAGGGGCCCTGGTCGACTACCCTGATGTGCTGCCGCCACGTCTTCACCCCGAAGGCCTGGGCCACGGGCGGACGCTCTTCCTCGTTATGAAGAAGTAAGTAGGAGGCGGCCCCTGGCCCTGTGCACCTGCAGCCCCCGGGGTGGCAGGGAGGAGGCACCTCGTCCTTCTGTAGGGCAAGACTGTAGGGCAGACTGCCCTAGAGAGCAGCGTCCCTTTAGGATGATTTTTCATGAAAATAGAACTTCGTCTTCACTTAGAACATAGTTTTCACCTAGTGTTTTTAGTACATTTGATTCTTGCTCCTTCTCTACGGCTTGCCTTACCAGTTGTGTGTGTCTTGTTTAACACAGAAAGTTCTCTCTCCTTGCTCTCTGTACCTACTGGCATTGCTGTAATGGGCATTTTAAGGAAAGAGTGTCTGCTCCATTACTTTCATCACGTGGGGCCCGAGCTCTCACTTCCTAATTCAGGGTAATGGGTGGGAACAGAAAGGATACTTGAGGGAGAAAAGATTAAGAAACTCCACAATGAGGAAGGATCGTCATCCTAATCGTAAGTAAGATGCTGGGGACCAATGATGTGTGATAGCCAGAGGCCCTGTCACCCTCTCCACCAGCTACCCCTGCACCCTGCGCCAGTACCTTCGTATGAACACCCCGAGCCCCCGCCTCGCCACCGTGATGATCCTGCAGCTCCTGGAAGGGGTGGATCATCTGGTTCAACAGGGCGTCGCGCACAGAGACTTGAAATCTGACAACATTCTCGTGGAGCTGGACGCAGGTGGGTCCCTGCCCTACCTCACAGCCATCCGGGGCGCACCAGACTCATGTCTGCAAACATTTAAGGACCCTTCAGGTCCTTTTTGACTTTGTATGTTCTGTTACACGTTGTCTTAATTTCACTCCATGCACAAGAGGGGAGCAATCTCTCCTCAAAACGGAGGCCTTTGTTCTCTTTGTAGGGCTTGTGGAATGATTCCTTTCTGTGGCCCACTTACAGAACACAAGACTCGGTGGCAGAAGTTCTCTTAAAGTAAAAGAGAGGTAGACTGTAGCTCAGTAGAAAAAAGCATTTTGGAGGCGCCTGGGTGGCGCAGTCGGTTAACCGTCCGACTTCAGCCAGGTCACGATCTCGCGGTCCGTGAGTTCGAGCCCCGCGTCGGGCTCTGGGCTGATGGCTCAGAGCCTGGAGCCTGTTTCCGATTCTGTGTCTCCCTCTCTCTCTGCCCCTCCCCCGTTCATGCTCTGTCTCTCTCTGTCCCAAAAATAAATAAACGTTGAAAAAAAAAAAAAATTAAAAAAAGAAAAAAGCATTTTGAGACAGTGAGAGCTGTCCAAAGATAAGCCCAGTGCCCCTGGGGATCCCGAGTTCCCCACGCTGGAGGCACTGAAGTAGAGGCTAGATGGCCCCTTACCTGGGCTGTTTTAAAGGAGATTTGTATGTCTGCTAAGTTTTGAACTAGATTGAAAATAAGAGGCAATTAAATTGCTAGAGGAACTAGGTTTTTAAAGAAAGTCTGTGTGAATACTTTTACAGACAACTAAATCCTAATGGACCAGTTTCTTGGGTTTGGATTTGGGGTTTCAAGTTCAGATCAGATTCTTGGGGTGGTAAGAGCTCTTAGAGATCATCTGAGCCCAGCACCATCTGCTGAGTAAACCATGACCAGCTCCTTCAGTCCTGGGCTAGCTCCGATTACTTGCTTAGATTGAGCCAAGCTTTTATCCAGTTCTTTGTTTGGGGGCTTTGATTTCCTGGAGGCATTTCCGTGCCCACTTAGCTGGCCCTCCCGTTGAGCTCTCTGGGGACAGGGTAGCCATCCTGTGCTCCTGGACCAACATGGAGTCCTTGTAAACCTCTCTCACCCATGTCTTGACGGTGGCCATGGTAGGGATCATAGGAAGGCCTCTCGGAGGGGCCAGTCACTTACCTCTACCTGTCCCTTCCCCAGATGGCTGCCCCTGGTTGGTGATCACAGATTTTGGCTGCTGCCTGGCTGATGAGCGCATTGGCCTGCAGCTGCCTTTCACCAGCTGGTATGTGGACCGGGGTGGAAACGGCTGCCTGATGGCTCCTGAGGTGAGTCCCGCTAAGCAGGTCTTGTGCCATCAGCAAACATACTTCTCCACCGTGCTTCCACTGAGAGGACAAGTGTGAAAGTCCTTGTCCCCATTATTTACTCAACACCTCCATCTTTTCTGACCCTTAATTTGGCACAAGTCCCTTGCAACCTGAGGAGATTCTCGTGGGTCCTAGCCACAGCTCAAATTCTGGGTTCTTGGGACAGAGTTCCGATCAGCCCAGGAGTCAGATGCTGTGCCGGAACGTGAATGCGTTCTAGGTGCCAGCAGCGTGAAGCTCACTCATTGCTTCCTAACAGGTGTCCACAGCCTGCCCGGGCCCCAGAGCAGTGATTGACTACGGCAAAGCCGATGCCTGGGCAGTGGGTGCACTCGCCTACGAAATCTTCGGGCTCTCTAATCCCTTTTACGGCCAGGGCAGGGCCCACCTTGAAAGCCGCAGTTACCAGGAGGTTCAGCTGCCCGCACTGCCCAAGTCAGTGCCTCTGGAAGCAAGACAGTTGGTGAGGTCACTGCTCCAGCGAGAGGCCAGCAAGGTGAGGCTGTCCCCAGGTCTTGCAGGAGTTGTGTGAAAGTTCATGTTCCAGAGTAAAGACCAGGTTTGGGCAAGACTAGAGTCACCGATAGCTCCTCTGTCCTAACCAAGTTTGTACAGGAGAACAAACTTGAATATAAATAGGAGTAGGGGAGGTAGCCACCAGCTTACAGTTCCAGCAACGCAACTTGTCTTGGCTTCAGTGGCTTCAGTTACTTAGAGGGAAGAAGATGCATTTTTAAGAAGTGTTTAACAGAGTTGTAGCTTCTAGGAACAGCCGACATCTAATGAAACAGAGGTGAGGCCTCGCCCAAGAGCAGATCTGGACCTGCCCAGGCCAGGCGGCATGCCTAGGGAAGAGCACAAAGGCAGACACGGTCCAAACCCCTGTCCTCCCGCCTCCCTGCCACCGCACAGCATGTGCTCAGTGCCACCAGTTACTGAGGAGAGGTCTAAGGTGGCTCGTGGCCCTTCCTTGACGGGGAGACTATTTCCACGACACATGTGGCCTGTGGCACCTTTGTGCACCTGGAAAAGCCTGCAGCATGGAGGGCGAGCAGCCAGCGTGTGTCAGGAGAGCGAAGGGTGTTGTAGGAAGGAGAGACATAGGGGTGGACAAGAATTTGGGGCCGGAGAAGGGAAGACCCTGAAATGAGGATTCATTAACGGATCGGGTTTGGGGCCACATGCTTTGCCAGCCACACTTTCTAAGCTTCCGCTTCCCTGCCTGTTGCAGAGACCGTCTGCCCGAGTGGCTGCCAATGTGCTTCACTTAAGCCTCTGGGGGGAACACACGCTGGCCCTGAAGAATCTGAAACTAGACAAGATGGTCGGCTGGCTCCTCCAACAGTCCGCTGCCACTTTACTGGCCAACAGGCTCACGGAGAAGAGCTGCGTGGAGACAAAGATGAAGATGTTATTTCTGGCCAACCTGGAGTATGAAACGCTGTGCCAGGCAGCCCTGCTCCTCTGCTCCTGGAGAGCAGCCCCATAAGGGCCCTGCTGTAGCTGAATTACTAAAAGAACTTAGCAGCATCCGTGTGGTGATGGTCTGTGAATGGGCAGAGCTCCCAGGAGTGAGGGCGGGAGCAGAACAAGATGGCGTAGGGAGGGCTGGTCAGCCCCGGAGAAGGCCTCGGGTTTGGCAAATGGAAGGAACAGCTAGCTCACGTCCAAGTTCAGTCCGTAGCTACTAACTCACCCTAGCCGTGCCATCCTAGGTGCCTCATGTAACCTGTGTGGTCTGACGTTCTCACGGGCAGCGTCGAGGAGCTGGCAAACAGACTGTCTCGTAGCGCAGAAGCAGTCTTAAATATGTAAATACACCGAAATTTGAATTTCACGGGTAACTAATATTTTAATTTTTTCCAACTATTTGAAAACCCGAAAAACAGGCAGCAGGCCAGACTGGCCCACAAGTCAGAGTTTGCCAACCCCTGGTCTAGATGAATTCAAAAGGCCTAATTCTAAAAAGACACCCTGATTAATCACAAGGCCCCTTGTGTGTAAATGCTAATAGAAGGTGAGAAGACCGGAGCACACAGCCAGAGGCATGCATTCTCTGCAGCAAATGAGGAGGAGTGAGGTGTTACCTGCTGACCAAAAGCCCTCATGGACCTCTGTGAAGCCGGTGGCTGAGCTGGTCTGTTAGGTCTGGAGGCTGAGTGAGGCCCAGACGTGTGCCTCCCCCCTCACCTTCCAGAGGGCCCAGCAAGGCCCTGCCTGTTGGTAGCAGAGCAGGACTCCAGGAAGGGACTGCGGCTTGTTTGAAAGTGGCAGCCATGAATCAGCCTGTGTGCTTCCTGAGCTAAGGCAGACATCTGCCCGGGTCGGTATATTCGGGTGTCAGAATGAAAACATCCAGTGAGGCCTGAGAAGTAGGAAGCCTCTGCACTTCAGTCAAGCATTCTGGAAAGCTCTGGGGTGTGTCTGCGGAAGCATTTCCACTGAGCTCCTCCAGCTACTAAATCGAGTCTAGTGGAGCTAGAAGTAATGAAGAAATGGAAGTTAACCGTGTAGTGTTTTATTGCTAATCTGCCTTTTGACCAGCATTTCTTATAGAAATCGTGAAGAATTAAATGCACATTTTCAACTGCAGAAGACGTTATTTGCTTTGAATTGAATACGTGGCTTTAAGAGTGATCTTTACACCATAATAAAGAGAACAATGAGGAAAGGATTTCATGTGATTTTACACCTGCTTTTTAGGACTACAGCTACTGCCTAAAGCAAGGTGAACGTATATTTTAGTTCCTTTCAAAGAAGCAATTCTGTAATTCTATTAAGTCAAGCACTGTTACCCCAATTTCCCCACCGGCCTCAGTGTGTTATTAACCTTCTCTTCTCCCCCGAGAAGTGAGGAAGTGTTGTGATTTCACACTTAAGGAAAATACGGTTGGCGACACTTAGAGGCCACTTACTATTTTGTGTCTCATGGCTGAACAGCATCCCCACCACAGCAAAGCACACGGGAGCCACATCAAGTTGGAGGGCAAGGTTTCTTTTTATCTTAGAAATGAGAGTGACCACACATGGAAAATACCACTTAGCATTAGGTGGAAAAACTCAACATAAAAATCATCCCCCAACCCCCACCCCCTTGGTACTCAGTGCCGCGTCTCCCACTGAGGTGAGACTCTGCCACTGTCCCACAGCTTAAAAAAACAAACAAGTGAAACACACACACCACCATAAAGACAACCCAACCCTATGTAACCCCCATCTGCATGTTTTGAGGAGTTCCAGGGCTCGGCCGCCTCAGTCAGACTTCTCCTTCTCCTTCATGTGCAAGAAGACCGTGCTGAAGATAAAGAGCCCCAGCATCATGGAGAAGGCGCTGGCGTAGTACGGGTAGGCCGAGGGGATGAAGCGCTCATACTGTGTGTGTTGGAGCGGCCTCACCGACACCTGCAACACGACAGAGGGGACAGGCCCCGGCCACTCAGCAGCCCAGGCGAGGCCCACTCCGGCCGAAAAGGGGACCGTGACTTTGGCTCACCTGAGTGGAAGAGTGCAAGTGCGTGTAGCCTAGCCGGTTGTAATCCACTTTAAACTGGAACACTCCATACACATCGGGCAACTTGAACTGGACGCTGTATTTGCCACCTATGGGGGGAGCCGAGACCACCAGAGGGGTGTCTCCATCAGCCTCACAAGAGCGAGCACCACGGGACTGTCGTCCTGCCGCTGTCCCCCATGAGAGCACTACTTGCCTTTCTTCTTCAAGAAGGTCCTCACGAAAGGATCGATGCGGACAAACTCTAGCTGGATGTCATCACCATCAAAGGGGACCCATCTGCCATTTGAGAGCTGCTCAATCACGATGCTGTACTCCTGAGACGACAGGCCGGTCGGCCGGGGGAGTCACCACCCTTGGAGCAGCACCGAGTCCCTCGTGGACCCGGCAGGAACCCCCGGGGCGAGCCCCTGCTCCCCAGCCCGCTAACGCCCCTCTCCACCTCGGCCCTGGACCACCAACGTCTGCACCCAGACTGCCCCACTTGCGGACGGGCCGGGCACCGTCAGAGAGCCCTGCCGCCACCTTCGCTGCAGTCTCCACCCCTCCCCCCAACCAGCAGAACGGAGCAGCAGAGCCCTCCCGCTTCTACACCTCCACGACAAACCCACACCTCTTCACGCCTTTTTAGACACTGGCTTGTGCACTGGGCCCTCTGCACCTACACTTTCTTAGGAGTAAAGATTAATTTATTCGTCTTTATTTAGGCCACTAAATATTCAATAAATGCTTCTGAGCTAAAGCAACCTGGCCCAAACCACAGGGGTCCCTCCTGCTCCAAGATGCTCTTACCACTAGGTCGGTGACGGTGTAGGCGTTGGGTGGGGCGGTCTCACCCACCCGATGGTGGGACACGGGCCCCACACGGAGGACACCCTCCTCCTTGAACACCCAGCGGGAGAGGGCCACAGCTAGCTCGTAGTTGCCCGTCTGGGAATACCTGCAGAAGGGGCAAACAGGAGGCTAGGGGCCCAGAACTGACTTCTTTGCAGCGATGCCTGACAGTCACGATCCATGGAGACAAACTGCCTGAAACTAGCTTCTGCCTGGAGACCATACGTATCTAGGTATCCTGCTTCAAGGAACGGGGAAAAGAGGTCAGGTGGTGTTGCTGTGGGGTCACCTTCACAACAAACACACTCGCTGAAACATCTCCGGGTAAGCCGCTGCCACCTTGAAAAGTCTAGGGTACCAACACAGCAACGAAGTCTTCAACCCAAAGACACCTGGCCTCCGACGCTTCCAGCTGGAAGGCTCCTTCCTCCCCAGCACCAGACCACACGCCCCCGAGCCCACCAGCACCCACCTCTGGGAGCCGGGCGCAGCCTTCTGCACCGCCGAGTTGAAGAAGGCATCGCTGAAGAAGTCCAGGGAGCCGCTGAAGACGACCCGGGCGTTGTTCCTGGCCTGGAGCCCAGCAATGAGCAGGGTGTTCTTCCCCACCGCGTGGGGGTACTGGGAACAACAGAGGGCTGTCATCCAGGAGAGCCCGGGGAAAGGACAGGCAGCTGGGCCTCTGGGGCAAGAGGACAGCAGGCCGGACGTCAACCTGAGGGTGGCACCGGAGGCCCCGGCGCCTCTGCCCCTTCCTGCTCCCAGCAACCTCTCCTTCACCAGCCTCCGCCCCGTGTGCTCTCCTCTTACTCCTGCTCGTCTTCACATAAAGGGCCTCGCCGCTGGGCCCGGGGCCCGGAGGCCTCAAGGCTGCAACGGCCCCTCACCTGGGTGATAGGTTTATCGGGGAAGAAGGAGTAAGACGTGGAGGAGCCCGTCAGGATGTCCAACACCAAAGGATTGTCAGGATCGGCCACCATCCTACAGAAGGAAAGGAGAACACCCCACAGGGACCCTGAGAACTGAGCTCAAGGACCTGGGTCCCGAAGGGTCACTTCTCCACAGGGACGAGTCCTGCTTTCTCAGCAGTCGCACGCCTGCTATGCCACTAGCTTTCCTCTTGCTGCAACAACGAAGTCTGACTCTGAGTGTCCTAAATTAATCTCTCCCCTCTCCTCCAGGGATAGAACCCCTAAACCATCAAGGGTGGGTTAGTTTCCCATCCTCCCCAGGTTTCTAGCGCCCTGGGCCTGCTCACTCACCCAACACCTCGAAAGAGGATGGGGTTCAGAGATGATCTCCCAACAATGGTTGGGGCCTTCAGCAGGTTCTCAGGGTCGGCCACAATGAGCGTGTGCTGCGGCAACAGAGGGAGATGGGGGTCAGGAAAAGGCGCCTCCACGCCAGGGACTCCCTTCCTACTCCTTCTCGGTTTCCAGGCTGAGCCCTGGTGGAAGGGCCCCAAACCTGGAAGGTAACGGGCCCGATTACCTGGCCAAGGTCTGAGATGTCGTAGTTGTGATGGTCAATGACGGCTGTTTTCTCCTCGTCGAACTCGATCCCACACTCACTGCCCAGCTCTCGAAGAGGGTCACCTGCAAAGACCCAAGAAATGCCTGGTTTAACCCTTACAGGTGGGCCCTGGGCCAAGCAGTGTCGCTTCCCTGGCCTCCTGGTGACTCACCCTCTCCCAGTCACCCTTAGGCCCTGCCACTTCCCCAGGCCGTGCTCAGCCCCAACTGGACAGCTGGACAACAGCACGGTTTTCTGCCTCCAGGGGTCAGAACCTGAATCAGTAACACGGAGAACCACCTGGTCCTCTGCCCACAAATACACAAAACCCCCCATTGAGGCAAAGTCATAACCTCAGGCAGACTTGACCTGAATAAGCCTGGCTTCATGGGACTTCTCCTCCTCATCACCCCAGTCTGTCAACACTGGGAAAAACAAAATGAGACTGGCCGGGTGCTGACACCAACCAAAGCTGCGGGATACGCGTGCAGGCTCCAGAATACTGCTCTCTCCCTACTTCCACGTATGTTTGAAAATTTCCAAAATAGGGAACAACAACAAAAAAACAATCTGTCAAATTACTCTGGGTTCTGCCCAAGTAGCCAGCCCCATCTTTTCTTTCTGTAAGGGAAGGCCCACCAACACAAAGAAAAAGGGAAAAAACCAAACTGGGAAAAAACAGGGTTCCCAGCCCATAAAAGGCCCCACATCTCCCTGGTCCTGCTGACAGGAAGAGGTGAATGGCTCTGTACTTCCCTCACTCCCTGACCAGGCCCACCCAGTGAACACCAATCTGGCAACTTCCATTTGTAAAGCTTGCCAAGCTTCCTGGAGAAACGCTGGAAACCACCAGACCTTCGCAGGTCAGACTTACCAATGTCTGAGCTGGCAGCTACTAGGACACTGCCTCCACCGTCAATAAAGGTACTGATGGTCTCCACGTTGATGTTGCCTCCGAAATCTGAAAGAAGCACCAGACTCGGTGACCCAGGCGGCTCCTCTGACATTTGGGCGGGGG